CGCCCTCAAAAAAAGCTTTCAAATTTTATATCTCACATAAGATGATTGATCTACACTTTTTTAACTAATTCTCAAAAACAGGAAATTATCATTTTTCACTTTTACTCTGTGAATAAAAATGATTGGATTAATAATTGAGCACATGATAACATTAAAATAACAAAATATCAAAATGAATTTTCATTAAGTCAGATTAGTAATGAGAATTATAATTAGGGAGTTGCAACATGCAACATGAAACATATTTTACATGTAATCATGGAAAAACTATTCATCATAATTTTTTGTCCAGAATAAGCTTAACTAAGAAATTTGAATAGATAGAGTATTTTGAATTTGAATTGAAATCACATTGCAATCTCAAAAGTGAAACCTTTGGAATTATTAACTCCTAAGATTAAAGTACTGATGATTATTAGCATTTTTTATGAACTCAGATATGATTCAAATAATTATAAAACATATTTGATGGATTTGCAGATTTGTTTTATTGGAATGATACATTTGGTATGTGAATACGAATTGAATGTATATCTAAATTTTTATTTCATTAGTTTTATTATCATACGATTATTATGAGAAGATCCATTTTTATTTACTTTATATACTTAGTGAATTGTTCAGATGCATCAGATTTTGTCTTTAAATTCAGTTTAGATTTCATTCTTCACATCTTTCTTTCTACTGAACTATGACTGAAAATTTATAAAACATACAGATAGAATATAAGGAATTTTGGACAGAAAATTTAATTGTAGTGTCATTATAAAATTAAAAAACGTGACATAATTATTTTGATAGATAGATCTACATTATGAATTGTCTTGTGTCAATATGAAAAAATAGTTTGGATGCTAGGTAATATCTTCGACTGAAACTATCTACAATTGTGCATGATACATAAATTATAATGTGTCATGGTGTTTATTGTAAAACGAGTAAGGTTTATTTTACAAATGCAGATCATTTACAGTTATATCATGTAAAATGTCATCAACAAGTAACACTTAACCCAACATTACTCCTTTCATAAATCATAAAAACAGCTTCAAACGATCGTGATAAATCGATCTTGTTATAAGAATTGTGAGGATCAAGTACATGTTAGATTCTAAATTTTTCATCATTATATCCGATTATTTGATTTCATTACATGAAGTCCATTACCTCAGTTCAGGACAAGAGTAACTTATGTACAATATATTGCTCAATGAAACGACATATAGTTTCATAATTGAGTGATAATGTGTTTTTTGTTTTATTAATGTTTTTAAACTGAAAATGATGTCACAACTTTCAAACATTGTTATTGCATTGAACTAAAAAAGATACATAGAAAATTATAAGATCATTAAGTTTTGAATTTTTTCACATCATGCTACTACACAACACAATCAAATGAAACTTGAAGTCTTTTATCTACAATAAATATTAACCATAATATTTTAAATTATTTTTTGATTATATAAGTGAAAACAGATAGCTTAAAAATAGATGTATTTTGTGTAAAAGATATAGTACTTCTTACCTGATTGTAAATTTTTTCCTCTCAAAAGATTAACATCTACACTATATGAGACTTATGAGCATATACAAATTTAATTTCAATTAATCAAACTGGTGTATTCAAAAAAGTTGTTGTACACGATTGCATTGCTTTCAAAAAAAATTTCCCGAGTTATTTTATCATGTATCAAAGGATGAAAATGGATAAATTGTTAGTATGGAGGACAATTAATGCATTTTTTATTGATATATAAGACGTAGACATTATTTTTACTTCATGTACATTAGAGCAAGCTCTTCAAAGATGGATCATATGATCAGAAGTATTAACAATAATATCAATAGCCATGTACACAACAAATTGTTTTATATGAAATCAGAATGTTTACTACTTAATAAAAACACTTTTTACATTATTATTTTCAAATGAAAGGTGATTATGGAAAAGCTATTGTCGGGAGTGAAGATGCTAAATTGAATTATTAAGCATCAAACTCTCGTGGATTATAATAGAAATAGATTGTTTTGAAAGTATAGATATTTTCCATACTATCTATCTCATAAGCATCCATTTTTGAATAGTTCACAGACATTACAAAATTCTTTATGAGCCTCATCATTTTCATTAAAGTCATATATGATCAATAGTATTTTTCATTTCATATAATATAAATCTACTAAAATGAATCATCTCTAGAGCCTATAATAGTCATTCAGATTGAATAAAGATTGAACTTTTTATATGTACAATTTATTATATAAATATGAATTTTACTACTTGAACTTTGCTAAATTAAGTGTTTGCTTTCTCGAATAATTTTATCGAATTCTCGAAGAGAACAGGCTTTGTCCAGCCACAGCAGATGTTTCATTCCAAATAATAAATAATCCCAATGCATTTAGATGATATTTATCATTAACAAACATAATTCAAGTTTTGTTATATATATCTAAGTGGTGGCAAGTTTGACATGCATATCATGCTTGTAAACCATGAAACATTGATTTCAAACATCTTAGTTACATATCATGTCATAAATACTTGAATGTGTGGTGAAAGATTTGTCATGGATACATAAATCTCTTATGTTATTGTGTGATATGAAGAGCTTATTGCCAATGGACAAGGCAAAATATGTAGTATTTATGGATAATTGGAAACTCTTAGTAATCTCTTAGTACTCTTGTTATTGTGGTAGGTGAGACTTTCAATACTCTTGCTATCCTTTCACTAAAGGATTGTGAATACAATTATCTTGGGAGATGTCTTAGATTTTCTGTGAAAAAGAGGGACGTTGATTTCTCATGCAGGTATTATCGTAATAGACGGGAGATGCTTTAACCCAGGAGTCATGACAAAAGCTATCGTCCTCTTTCTCTTTGCCCTAGATTGGACCAGTAACATGGAATATACTTAAAGGGGCAAACATATCAACCGTCTCCACACACACTCTCTGTCGGTGGATTTGATTTTTCGATCCATTCTTAGGGATGGTCTTGCTCACACAAAAATGCATGCTTGTGGGAAAGTTCTTGTTTGGGAGAACTATGCCAATGTAGAGGACATTGTGATTATAGGAGCTGTTTCCCAAGCTCGACGGATATCGGGTGAAGAGGCATATCTTCATGTTCATCATTGGTCGGGGCAATCATGACATGTTAGATGGCATAGGACATGCTTCCCATTGTGATTTTATTTGTACCTAGCTCCATGATATCCGCTTGATTTCACACGGGGATGAAATCAAGTGGGTAGGACTTCAATCCATATGAGTGGTTGTGGTTTTCGTCCTTTTTCTCCTTTCTTTCTTGTAACAATCAAGACTTATTTGCTCATATTTTAACCGACTTGCTAAACCTTCCGCCAAATCTCCTCAAACCAATGTTTTCTTCCCCCATTAAGATGTTCTCATCGGCGACATGGCTATGACTCACCTTCGGTAGACCTCTCTTGATCATCGACAGAATCCCTTCCGAATTCGCTCTAAAACTATATTTGTACAAATTCTTCTCTTTTGCTTTATTACTTGACTTCATTAACTAACAGTCAAATGAGACCCTAGCAGCTGATGGCTTGATGGGGTCTTCCCACCCTTTTGGCTATACATTCCTTGCTTCGTTTGCTTATGGTCCATTTTGAAAAGGACACTTTTCCTGATTTGGTTAGTGACCCTTTTTTTGCGGATAGAACTGGCCACAAGAATGTGATGAGGTAGAGCCTGATTACCATGACGTATCTTAATATAGATATGAAACGAACAATAATCAAGCGGGAAAACATGGAGGCTCTAGTTATGTATCCTAACTGTCTATCCTGATTTCCCACCGTAATCAACGCCTTAGTACTAAAAAGTCAGTTGAAATGACGACCATGGTTGCCACAAGTAGCAAGTGTTGGCAGCATGCAGTACTGAGAAGGACAAGGAGAAACCGAGAAATAGAGGAAAAAGTATAGGACTGACCCATAAATTCGTTATGGGATGAAACGAAATAGGTAGGACGGGTCTAGGCCCAATAGCATCACCACGCAGTACTCAGAAGGAAAAAAGTAAAAAGTGAAAGCTGTACTCACTCTTTGACTCTTCCGCCGGGAGATGATGGTCGCGGATCCGGTTCACCACAATTTAAATCAGTGGCAAATTTAGTTTATGCGTCAATGGATGACTTTTCGCAGAGACTGGTTTTATAAGGATTATTTGCAGCGAGATCCTCGAAATAACAGTACTGTATCTCCAACGCAAAAGCTCCCAGACTGGGCTCGAACAGCGTACAGTACTGTGCTGTCCAGGCAGAGTCATCGAATGAGGAGTAGGACTGTAGGACCCACCTCATGTGAGCTCCAGGGTCCAGGGCTCATGGAAGGAAGAAGTGGCCCTTGCAGGAGGAGGATTCGAGTCTCCGTCGTAGCTGGCAGCCCGTGGTTGGCTCAGAAATCAGGCCAGCGATCGTCCCACAGGAACTCCGGGACCTGACCTCGGTGGGCGTCGCGCCGATGGAATCCCCGAAGCCAATCAGCAATGAGTGGATCGGACGTCTCGGCGTCCAGGCGAAAGTCGTCACCGATGATAGCGAGTGATTGGTGCGGGGTGGGTGCCCGGCACCGTCGCCTCCGTAGTGTAAAAAGCACTCACGGACCGGAGATACCGGCGGTGGCCGGTGACGCCGGTTCTTGGGCAATTATATCACGTCTGGGACAGAGCTTTAAATTGCCGAGCGTTGAGATCGAGAATCGGGCGGAGCACAAGGAACGCGCTGGAAGCCCGTAACTCCGGTCTGTGCCCAAGAAGTGAGTAACGCGGTGTCCTGCTGCGCTGTAGTTGCTGTCAGCTGGACTTGCTTACGGATGATGAGTCCGTCGATCGATCCGTCCGATTCTCCACCTGGGCCGGTCGGCCTGGCCCTGGCCGTCCGCTGCTCCAGCGAGGCTCGGGAGCCTTGGATTGGAAGTCAGAAGGACAGGGGAGAAGACAGAACAGCGGGCCAGACAAGGGAAGCGCAGAGGAGCGAGGAGCGAGGGGCCGAGGGCAGGAGGGCAGGGAGGGGAGGGCAAATCCACGTACAGTGAGCGGCTTCTGGACAGCAATCATGCTCTGGGAGGAGTGGTCAATGGAGCCAGTGCAAATCTAACTTCATCAAATCGGTAGAAAGAGTTGTTTTTTTGTTCGTTCTGGGCAACGCAAACCGCGGAAGTGGGAGCTCGTGAGGCTTCTGGGCGGTGGTGGCTCGCGAGCACCTGTTTGGTTGAGATTGTGATTCTGCTGCTGCTGCTGCTGCTCAATAGCTCTGCATTCGAAGTTGAGATTTCGCGCGAGTTCTCAGCCGAGCTTCGCATCGGTACACTTGTTCGCTTGCCCGTCCGATGAGTGTTTAGGCCCTCGTGTATCAGATGGTATGTTCTGTGCAGTTGCTCCGTGCTCTGAATGTTTGAATCTGTTGCGCGTTGTTTGGCGAGGAGCACCGAGTGACAAGAGCGTCTGCTTGCATTCTGTGTTCCTGTTTCAGTGTCCGTCGGTACCAGTGGTCATCGAGGCTGCGTGGTGTCGGAGGGGATTGACATTTGGGGATATGATTGGAAGGCTGGAAACGGAAATTCGTGGCTAGAGCAGATTTCGGTAGGGCACGTGCTGAAGGGGAGGGTGGTAGCAGGAGGAACCCTAAGACATGACGAGTGAGAGTGGGGACCAGAACCCTGGGGATCCCGTGTCGAGAGAGAGAAGACGTAAGGTGGAAAAAATCTTTCAACAGTTTGACCTCAATGGAGACGGTCGACTCAATCGCGACGAAATGGCAGCTCTGGTGATAGCTGTGAACCCGAGAGTTAAGTTCTCGGAGGAGCAAATCAGTGCTATATTGGACGAGGTGTTTCGTACTTATGGAGACTACATCGAGGGAGATAAAGGGTTGAGTTTGGATGGGCTTGTGAGAACTTACGACGACGGAGCAGGAGATGTTGACAGAGATTTTGATGCTCTGGCACTGGACCTGGACGAAGGCGATGGAGGGGTGGACTTGTCTGGAGACAGGTTCGTGGATGACCTCAACAACAGAGAAACAGCTTCGGTTGCGAGTGGCTCGACTGCCCCGCGTGGAGCAGTTTCTATCACTGACGAGAACAAATTTGTCAGAAGAAAAGAAAATGTCGGCGCGTGGGCGTCTTCTCCTAACAATGGAATTGTGTACGATGAATCGTGGAAGCTCGTTGAAGACCTGGAACTGTTTCTCCGTAGAGTGGATCAGAAAATCGAGAGCAAAAAAAAAGAGAAGGAGGAAAAAAAACCTACCGCTTCAGCTGTGGAAGCAGGGGATTGGTCGAAGGACCTAGGATCCATCAGTCAAAGAGAAGACGAGGCAGGCCTTGGTGGGAGAAAACCAGAAGAACTTGGATCGGATTATGTTACATTTAAGAAGTCTTTGGTCGACTTTCGGACCAAAGCGGATGGGCTGCGGATTAGAGGTGATAGTCGCGGGGACCTCATTGCGTTTGATGCACATTTGGCTATGGGAAGGACTCTGTCTGATCACCGATGGTATTCAGAAGCTCTTACTAGTTTTCAAAGATCAGTGGAGCTGAAGCCCAACGACACCAGAGCCCATTTCAGAGCTGGAAATGCTCTTTACTCAATTGGGCGAGTATCAGAAGCTCGTGCAGCTTACGAAAAAGCTTTGGAGACGGCTCAAAGTTCTCACGCAGCATTGCGCCCTCAGGTACTCATTCATTTCAATCTACTGCTTATTCGTCATGCCATAGGTTGCAGTATGCAGAGCCATTGCTTGAAAACAGACGTATTCATCTGTTGTGGGGTCCTCGGGTTGTATGGTTGTCCCATGGTCTGTTCCAGTGGTATATTATCTTGATTCAGCACAAATACCCGTGAGAGGTGAATGTTGACCAGCTTGTGGGAAGCACAAGTGCTTTGATTGTGTGAGGAAGGTATCCTCAGGCATTAAATCCCTAGTGCACCAGAGGAGGAATGTTTTGCTAACTACGTTGTCGAATCATCAAGATAATCTAAGTGTGCGGGAGGAGAAACTACTGTGAACTTTACTTGTTTTGCCCCTTCAGTATTGACCCTGGTCGCGTATGTATCGTTTAGGTGCACGTCAACCTTGGTATAGCCCTTGAAGGAGAAGGAATGCTATTAGGAGCTTGTGAACACTACCGTGAGGCGGCTATACTGAGTCCTCAACATTATCGGGCTCTGAAACATCTGGGATCTGCCCTTTTAGGGGTGGGTGAATATCGAGCTGCAGAGAAGGCTCTAGAAGAGGCTATCTATCTTAAGCCTGATTATGCAGATGCACACTGTGATCTTGGGTCAGCCTTGCACGCGCTGGGAGATGATGAGCGCGCAATCTCAGAGTTCCAAAGAGCTATAGATCTGAAACTGGATCATGTGGACGCTTTGTACAACCTTGGAGGCCTGTTAAGGGATTCTGGGAAGTATGCTCGTGCTGCAGACATGTATGCCAAAGTCCTGAGCATTAGGCCCAGAGATTGGCGTGCTCAGTTGAACAGGGCAGTCTCGCTGCTGGGAGCTGGAGACAGTGAAGGAGCTAAGAAGCCCTTAAAGGAAGCTTTCAAGATGACGAACCGAGTGGAGGTTTATGATGCAATAATGTATCTAAAACATATGCAAAAGAGGCCGAAGGGCTTCAACTCAGCCATTCAGAGTGCCCAAGAGGGTATGGTTAGGGGGGACTCAAATGGAGCAGTTGTACCCTCTCCTGACGGCTATATGGTGATTGAATTGGGTAAATTTCATAGAGCTACGAGTAAGACCAGTCCAAGACTATGGTTGGGCTGCGCGCTGGACATAAGGCGATTCCAAAAGCAGACTCGTTTGCACAAGTTTGAGAGCTCTACACTGAAACATGAAATAGACGATAATGCAAAGAAGTCAGGTGAAGTCGGACCCTCTGCGAACTTAATCAGGAAGGCGGAGCTGGAGAAAATTCTTAGGCGATTACTCCATTTTCTTACGCCGGAGGCTTTTCAAGCATCCGTCAAAGCCATCAATGAAAAATTGTTGGGAGTGTTAGATAGAAGCGCCACGGGTCGTGTCGACTTGGGTATGTTCCTGGCATCTATATCTCCTCTCTGTGCCAGTCTCACTCCGGAAAAGAGGAAGCGACTGGTTTTCCAAATACTGACTTGGAGGAACCCTGTATCCGAGGGAGAGATTGCCAAAACGGATGCCAAAACCTACATCAAGTTCATGCGTGCTATTTTCCTTCCCACTCAAGGAACTAGCGACATGTGGGAATTGCACGGAGACGACGATCAGGTTAACATCTCTTATCCAGAGTTTGTGGAAATGTTCGATGATCTGGACTGGGGATTTGGGATCTTGAATCTGTTGGCCAAGTTGGAGGGTGGTGACCGTCTTCGTCATCAAGGATTACCATGTGCTGTGTGTTCCTATCCAATCATGGGATCCCGTTTTAAGGAGGTGACTTCAAACTTTAATCTCTGCTCGACGTGCTACAGTGAAGGGAAGGTCCCCACGTCATTTAAACAGGATGAGTACAACTTTAGGGAGTATGGAATCGATACAGAGTCGATGAAGGATAGATTCAAGTTTTTTAACCTGCGAAATTCACCTGGGTCTATGAAGCAGCAATGATAAGAGAGACTAGGTCGGAGTCTCTCCTCTTGTTAGAAGTGTGACTCTCGCAAACAATGTCCAATCTTTTTCCCTCACTTTCAATCTTGAGGTACCGATTGTAGGATATTTGTATAGAGCAAGGAGAAGTGCGTTCCAGGTTGCAGCCATGGCCTTTGTTTGTATTAATAGAAGGGTATGCAGTTGTTCCAAGGCAGTTCGACGGGTGTTCTGAGGTCAAAGTTTTGGTTTCAATCAGTGTTGTAGCAACTTACATTTTGTGCATAATGTTAAATGTGAATCCCTCGAGTCAACCGCGTGTTATTCTTCCCACTCAGCTTGGAACTTGTGGATGATATTCAAAGCCTTTACAAGAGTGTGCAGATGCACGTAGAATGGAAAGTTTGATGTGTGTAGGAGGAAATTTTCTGTCCTTACCGCGGGTTTAGTGGTATGGATTGTGGACAAGGTTTTAGTTCTTAAAACCCATTTGTAAGCGTTATGTATTTCAGTCTTCTGTACCTCGAAGGTGCTGATGTGATGCCTTCATCCACTTCTAGGCGAAGATGTGTGGTACTATTGCTAGAATTAAGCCTGCGTTGTTACCAGCCATCTCTGTCAACGAGGGTGATTAGATTGAGTGGAATGGTTCATACTCTCCCATTCATCACGGGCTCTTGTAGAGGGTAAGATGTTGTGGTAATGGGTCCGACTACGTGTTTTGTCATAATGTTGAGTGAGAAAACTCCAGTCAGCTGGATATGATATATTTTAGGAACGTTATTCCGAAATTCGCTCCCCGGTGCGCTCCACTCCGTCAGTCGTATTCCGGCGCTATAATAGATGAAGAATCCGTGATACGAGGTTTACTGCGAGAATCAATTCAAGATCTATGTTTCACGGATCGAATCATATGACGAACGACTAAACTGTGTGTTTGAGAAGTGGTGAGCACCTGAGGCTGGAGCTGGTATATACACAACGACCATCGTTGTCGCGCCGGTACTACTTCGACGCCCGGGACGACTAAGGTCTTATAATACCACGTGCAAGAATCTTGAACTTGGTCTCTGATGTCGCCTTTAAGTTCGTTAATGGCTACAACGTTGGCTAGCGAGATCACGTACGGAGCAATACCATGGTCTACAGGAAGGCCACTCTCGAAGAGAATGTGTTGGAAAGGCACGCCGACCGCCATTGACCGATGTTCTCCATGTAAGAAGCAGTCGAATACGAAAAACTTTGTCAGGCTCTCTGTTGTAGACCGGACAAGGAGTGGGGCTGACCCTACCAAGCTCTACAAGGGTTCTTGGTGCTTACAACCAATGATCCAGCTCATGAAAGTGCGAGTCATGACGATGCCATGTCTACTGCCAGATGAGGATAACATGGAAAGCCGTCCCTTTATCATGATCTACTGGCAGGACTACTCGTTCTCTAACATTAATCAAGTGAGAATCGTCACTGGTTCAGTTCCCAATCTTCATGCAGTCAATCTTTGAAGTTATGCCTCAAAGTGCTATGAACTGAATTTGTTACTTTATATCACTTTATCGTTTCATTTATTCTGTCAACAGATTACAGGCAGTCCAGTTCTCTTTGCTCGCCAAAAGTCTTGGCTTTACGGAAATGAAATCGCTCCACATGTTCATGAGCCCCATGTGTCCGCTGCTATCAACTGTTCTGACATCTTGGTCGTTTAAAAGATGAAAGCAGCTTGCCTTGTGTACCACATGAAGTCATCTCCTGTTGTTTGCTTCCCACTGTGTCGCAACTGAGAACGGATAGCCTATCCCCTCGAAGAATATACTCATATGAATCTTTATCCAATCGAGTCACCGTACACGAGCACTAGCTCATTAGAAGAAATACTCATAAACAATTTGGAAGAAGAGGAGACTTGACTTGAGTTCACATGTAAGATTCACATCTAAGGAGGATGGAAGCACAGAAGTCTCCACGCCGATGCTGGCTAAGAATCTGAAGGGGGGAGCTGCATTGGCGAAGTCAGACAGTCATGAAGAAATGATTGTAGAAGCTTTCGACATTGTGTGGTTTCCTGGGAGTAGAGATGCTACTATTTGGCAGCAATGATGAAAGGGAATTGAAATCTTTCCCTGCAAAAGTGCTGTCAATTATTTGAAACCCTCGGCAATGAACCACTCAGTGGTCTCTGAATGAGTTATTTACTTTTTTTCCCGGTTATTCATTCTTGTGTCCTTCCAAAATCCGATGTCACTTTGACCAAGAACAACGCCAGTGAATCAATCGCCGATCTCGAGTATTGAAGTTGAGAAGTGATGCATGATGACTTCACAAGGAAGAACAGAAGAAATAAAATATATTACTCGGCACCATCTTCGTTCCAATTTCTTCATCATCAATGCCTCCGTGTGTTGATAGGAAACACGAAGGTTTCAACATCCCTGCTCGAGACACATGAATCCTCATTTCGATCTAGCCTACATAGTTCTCTAGTCTCTTGTGTGGGTTTTGAACACCACGTAGAGGTAATCATCCTGATGGCCGCAGCACCGGTAGGCTTTGAGGACATTTCCCTACGACCCTACATCTTTGTGTCAATTGAATGTTTGAATTTGGAACTTTGGTATAATAATGAACATGATGTGGTAGGGTACCTTAAGCCTTTATCGAGTTGCTTTAGAGAGCTGCTCTTCAGCCCTCTTTATTGTGGATATGCTCAGCACCAAACACCTAAGAAAAATTTAGTAGCTCAAACTTTAGATCCATCAGTATGCTACTCCGAAAATAATGGAATAAACATCATGTCTCTAAAGCGGGAAAAGTCTGCTTCATCTTGATATATCTAGACGATCATATTAAAATGATCTAAAAGAAAAACGCAAGAATCTGAAAGAAGCGTAGGTTCTTTATGTTCCGCTTGAACTTCCAGATCCTTCAATGTTACAGGATCATGCATAACTTTGACTTCTCCAATTGCTTAGCGTTGAGCAGGCTTATTGGCATACCCAGTCTGCGTCCTATGACTGAATTGTTATAGATGTCATGTACCCGTGGGGTTGGTTACATGCTCCAGATGAAAAAGAACATTTTTGAAATTCCTAAGCATTCTACTTCAAGTAAAGATGGAATCAAAATATCTTATTCTAAAGTCTTCGTTATTATCTTTCTCATTGGCTTGAGGCATCCACGCATAACAGAATCCTATCAAGAAGCATCAGAAACAGCTCAGATTCCAAAGTGAAGCGGCATGAGCACAATCTGTGATGTTCCTTACTCTGGACCGAGTGAAAATGTTTCTCAGTATGCAGCTGACGGTAACGAGCACTTTCTGACGAGTCTCATAATCCTTACCTTTTGAAGATTCGGCAGGATGAACCCCGTCGTTCCCATCGACGTAATATTTGCACTTTATGATCATCCTATCGACTTTCAGGAGAAGATCTTCACCGGAGGCTTTGAACTTATATCCTTCACCTTGATTTTCCTCCCAGCGAATGCTCGACAAGAAACAATGCGACCACTATGAACGCTTGCGCTGTCATGAACTGGAGTTCTGCCTATAACACTGCAAAATGTTCAGCATGATGGCATCATGTGAGCTCAGGCTCCTTTCTCAAAGAGTCCGTTATAGCTGTGCACTTTTTTTAGACATATTCTGTCCAAGTCCTTTCCTGCCGGCATACGGTACCACGGAGATGTATAGACGCTATCATGGGTTGGGCGATTGTCCGCAAGGCAAAGGGCGGAGCTGGAGTGGCGATCACGTCCGGTCATATTAACTGTTCGCGTACCCGCCACAGTTGCCTTCAATCCGACGCGGTAGATTGTGAATGACGATCCGCGAGCCGACGGCCCGGATCGTGACACGTCTCGGACGCAGTAAGCATCGAGTGGAGGCAGAGGCCTAGCGTTGCGCTGATATCATCCCCTCGCAGCATCGGATTCTGCATTGAGTGTTGGCAGGTCGAATAACTGGGCCACAAACATCATCTGCAACCATTTCCGAGATTTTATTATTCCTGAAGATTTGTATGATTCAGATATTTGAGGCACTTCCGTTAGGCTAGAGACAATGCGAGAAAGCGGTCGAGGCGCTCCCCACCAGGCAGCGCAGTTATGTCGAGACCTTGAGATTCGAAACCTGTGCAGTTATTATGCAGAATTGTCTTCGAATTGAAGATGATTTGTTTCTGTGACGTCCACTTCTGTAATTTCCACTTTGCCGGCTCAGGGTTACAGTATCAGACCTGGCGGATCTGGGATTTATGCCATCACGTTTCTTTGGTTGGCAATGCCCTCAACAGACTTTCACCGCGTAATAATTCGAGGATCCTCGCTCGTTCAAAGCGAGTCAGATTTTCAGAAGACTGAGTTTCTCCTCGTAATTTCAATGCGACATTTTTGTCCATACGTATGGTCGCATTCAATTGTGTCCCGCCTGTCCAAAACATCCAGTTGGCAGAGAAAACACTGCGACAACACAGTGGCCGATGCCTGCCACCGGTATCGACGCATTTTCTTGACTTTGCTCACATCCGTGACCGGCCCTCACATTTCAAGTCAATCTCGTCATAATCACTTTGCCGAATCGGCCCATTCATGTCAATCGTCGATCTTTCAAAGGCTTTGATTCTTCGCAAATTGCCGGAATGCTGAGGTTTATTAGGGCTCGTAATTAGAGCTGGACGACTGTGAGTTATTAGGGTCAACCTTTGGGTCCGGCCTCCGTATAGCAGAAAACGTGATTAAAAGAATGTCGGAACACCGTCCGGGTTTCCAACACATGTATGCACTCGCTTGCGCGCAAAATGCCACATGGCCATTTCGAAGCATGTGACCATGTTGATGAACATGAATGACAGCCCGTACAGACAGTCCCCTGAGACCAGATCCGGCACTGTACAGTACTGTACAGGTCCGTGACAACCCTCCGAGCTCATGAGTTTCGCGTTGCCCTTCAGGGTTTCAGAGTCCAACACGGCCTGTTACTTCCGTTCGGTGTGTATTATTTTCTCGTATAATGCCATGGCCTTTACATTATACGTGTACGACGCAAACACCTTCCTATTTCGGGTAGTAGGACAGTAAGCAGGGGTCTAGTGAGGTCTATCTTCGAGACAACTCGCCTATGGGGGACGAAGTCCTCCAAACTACCGACAATATCGTACATTTATTTAACCATAATGTACTTGCCTTGCGGCACGTCCTCTCTGAAGAGGAACGATGGCTACAGGGGACAAGATACATGTACGATTAATCGTCTACTACAAATATTGCAAGGTGAAACATTTAATTACTGTTTACATTTCCTTGAAATATTTTGGTAACAAA